CTGGCACCAGCTTAGCGTTGGGAAGGGGAAGGTGGCTCAGCCCTTGGGTCGGGTGCTCCAAGGGCACCGCTCCTTGCTGCTGGCCCTAGGGATCTCCCAGTTACTGGCCTTTACTTGCTGATTACTGGTGGGAAGTTGGGAAGGGATCTGTGGACTTCCCAAAGCTGCATCTCCAGGCCTGGCTGGAGGTAGAGCCTAAAGGGGAGAGACAAAAACTTGCAAACATCAACTTCTTATCCCCAATTTTGATTGTTTTTCCTTTTTTCCCTTTTCCCCCTATAATTTGCTATGAGCCCGGGGCCTGCCAAGCTTCAGCTTGAAACCTAAACTTCTGTTCTTTGAAGTGTCAATACTGTGCTTAGCTTTGTATAAGACAGAAACATCAACTTTGTCTCTCAACTAAGGAGTGTGTCTGCCTGCCTTGCAGGCACCCAAAGTGCTGCGAAAACTGTTATTTTACTTCTATTTTGGTGCTGATTGCTGATGTTTTACTGTTTGAAGCTGAGCATTCACTCTTCAGCAGAGCCGCATCGAACACCGGAGCCATGGTGGAGCACGCAGCCCTTGGGTGAGCACTGGGCACCCAGCGCTGGCTGGGCTGGGGCAGAGCGGGCTGCCTGGTCCATGGTGCTGCCCGGTGGCTGTTTCTAGGCGAGGTTTGCAGAAGGTCACAGGAATTAATGTTGTAAGCGGGGCCTTGGCACGGCGCTGGTGAATGTTTTGCATTAACAACCTCGCTCGTTAATTCACTGAAACATTTAAACCCAAACCAGTCGCATCCAGCCAAGCTGGAAAAAGCTGAAAGTTCAGACTCGGCAGCGCCGATTTCGAAACCTCCCTTTGTTAATCTCTGCAGAAGGGAATTTTCTGCCATTGCTGAGTTCGCTCTGAGCACTTTGGGCATTGTTCCCCTCAGTGGAAGGGAAGCTGCTCTGCATGGGGTTGGTGCTGTGTACCTGGACCATGGGAACAGGAAGGAGAGTTGGTACAGGAGCATGGCAGGAGGGGAATGCTCATGGAAGTGTTGGAGGTTTTGAGCTATCTCCAGCAGAAATGCTGGCCCTGTGTTAGGGCCACAGGGATGCTCAGGGTTCTGGGGCATCTCTCTGATGAGGAGGGATTGCAGGAGCTGGGCCTGGCTAGTCCAGGGAAAAGCAGACTGAGATGGGATCTCATCAGTGCAGATCAGTATCTCACAGGCAGGTGCCAGGAGGATGATGCCAGACTCTTTTCAGTGGTGCCCAGTGACAGGACAAGGAGCAATAGCCATAAACTGAAACACAACAAGTGTCATCTCAACATGAGAAAGAACTTCTTTATGCTGAGGGTGTCAGAGCCGTGGCACAGGCTGCCCAGGGGGTGTGGAGTTTTCCTCCCTGGAGACATTCAAAACCCACCATGGACGCGTTCCATTTTCCAGTTCCATCTTCCTCCTCTATTATCATTATTATAACAGGGCAGCACATCTTAACGGTGCTCCTTGTGCTTGTTTGTAAGCTGAAGCTGGGTCTCTGGCCTCCTACATGGAGAAGAGGTGTGCAAACATGGGCAGTGCAGGAGCAAGCTCAGCTGGGGCTTGTGCCTCTTCTGAGCCACAACCCTCTTGAAGCTGATGGGTCCCCACCAACCTGTCTGTCCCTGCAGCCACAGCGTGGTGCCGACAGCGTAAAGCTGCACCTACCTGGGGAGCAGATCTGTATCAGCCTGCTTGGTTTAACTGCTTCGAGTCAGGAGCTGTGCAGACGGGCGATCCCGGCTGCGTACCCAGGACAGGGAACCACCACCCAACCCAAGCCATTACCTGGGCTGCTCATCCCTGCCTCAGGGTGTGCACAGTTGTGTCCCTGTTGCGTGAGCAAACACCCATCAGCCCCAGAGGCAGCTCTAGTGCTTTAGATATGAGACCTGTTTACTCTCTTTCCTCACTGTCAAATTAACAGTGTAAATTAAACAGGAGCCATGAATTTAAGTCCAGTCCTTTTGTCTTCCTGGCTGCCAGGTCTTCAGTTAATCATAAAATACTAGGGAATAAGGTTCTTCACACAGGTCTGAGGCGTTTGCAGTGGTTTACACTGAGCTCTGGTGTTAGGCTGCTTTCTAATGGATTTATTTTTCCGTTATTAATTTACCGTGTCCATTAAACCAGCCTCACTTTAATGCTGGAGGAATCAGTGAATGATCCATTCTGTTATATATTCGTGGTGTATTAAAGTATTAGTGCATTCCAGAAGGTAAGCAGGGAATAAAACATGCTCCAAACATGTGGTTATGCAACTGTTCCATGAAAATGAAATGGACAAGCAGTATACTTGATTAATTCTCCTTTTTCTCCCCACTAAATTGGCACTGTGATTCACTTCCAGCTAAATCTGCAATCTGTGCTCTCAGGTGGCATTAATATTGGAGCCCCAGCAGGAGAGCTGGGGCAGCTTTGATTGCATTTTTAAGGCAAGATGTTGGAGAGAGCTCAGAGCTTGATGCAAATGTGCTGGTAAATGAAATGCAGCTTTTAGGTTCTCTGGAGGTGGGTCGGGCCCTTCACATTTACCCACAATAATGGTGCTGGCGTGCCCCGGAGAGGCACTCTCTCCATGTGGCACAATGGGGGTCTGTGTGTGTCTCTGCTCTGTATCAAATTCACTCTGTTGACAGATAAAAATCATCTTTGTGATATCAGGCAGCTCCAAAAACCCTCAGTAAGATCCGTCTGGGACTCGAGCTTTCTCAGGAATGGAGGCTCTGGAGCTGGATCTCTATCAGGAGCTTGCTGGAAACAAAAAAGCGTGCAGAGAGCCCAGTGTTAGAGCTGCACAATCAAATTCAATGTGAATTCCCTTTTACCGTTGCTTCCCTGACACGAAATTCCTTTCAGCCTTTCAGGCTGGATTTTGTAGCCTTCAGGCTGGTCTTACTGGTTTTTTCCCTAATTGACTCAAGTTGGAAAGGTCATTGTACCCTGCTGTATTGTGTAATATTTAACTTAGCATCAAAAATGAGGAGCTTGGGATTGGTGTCAAATGGATGCTGGTCCTCTCTGAATATCAAAGCCCATTCAGAGCCATCCAGCTATTTGACTTGTTAATGCTAATAACTTTCTGGCTCTCTGCAGAGGGAAAGACTAATCATGGAAAGGTGGCATAAAGCAGGTCTTGAGATTCGTACTAAATCCAGCTCCCAGCTTTAATACCTTTTTAACTTACCATTTTTTATTAAAGTTGTAATTTGTAGCCTTTCCTGACGCTGTAGCATAGCAAACAGGCTGCTCTGGTGCCAAGTTCAGGGATGACTAACACTATTCACAGCACTGGGATTAACGGGAAGTGCACGTTTTCCCATCAGTCTTTTAAATGGTGCCTGAGAGCTGCTGAGGCCGGAGTTGACCATCCAAGCTCTGCCCGCTGGAAAAAGTGATGTCAGCTTCCAGAACAATTAAAAACCAAATTCTAATGAAATTGGGGAGGTCCAATTGTACTTCCTGCATGTGATGTTTTTGCATCAGGACCTTACATTCCCCCTGCTGTTAAAGCAATGGGCACAGATAAGCAGAGGAGGTATTGCATAAGCACCAAGTCATTTGCCCCATCTGCATTTCTGGGAGCATGAGATCAGCTCAGGATATCTGAGATGAGAAAGCTGCTGGTGCACAAGTGCTGTAACTGATAGGAGTTGCCTCTGAGTCAGCTGGGAAGAGGGGAGTTGGCCTTGGGGGTTTTTGTAAGTTCAAGTTTTTATGAGTGCTTTCATGAAGCTCCATTGCTATTACTGTAAATCCCAGGAAAGTCTGGCACAGAGGCTTTGTAATATGAATCACTGTGTCCATATGCTTCCAAGTGACACTGCATTTTACCATTTTACCCCTGTGTTTAAAAGAGACGAGCAGAGTTGGTGCACAGGAGGTTGGCATTGACAGAGGGGTTAAGGCAGAGATGTTGCTGCCTGCCCTGTCACCAGAGCAGTGACTCCAGCTTCACTGCCCTTGTGTTGTGACCTGAGGCACGGAGCACTCTGTGCACATAGCGAAGCTGCATCAGGCTACAGATAAAGTTGTGGCTAACGCCCCAGCCAGGCCTGGCCTTCCGAAGGCTGGAGCAGTTTGAGAACCGTGTTAGCTTCAGGAAAAAAGCAGGAAAAGAATTATTCCTTTCTTCCTCCTTGTTTTCCTCTTGTTTTTCTAATGTGAGGTCTCTGGTCACCCCCAGCCCAGTATCATGGGCTTGTGTCACAGAGAAATGGCACTTTCTTAGGAGGTACCCCCAGTGCACTGGGTTGTATGAATGCCAAGAGTTACAGAGGTGGTGGGAGGGGAAGGCTGGAACGCGTGTGTGACGCTGCCCTGGAGTGCTGGGGCTGTTCCTCTTGCAGCTCCAGGTGAGGACTCAGCAGCTGCTCTTAAAACAGTGGTGAAGTGGGCAGGGGATGGGCAGGGAAGCTCCCAAATGCTCTGCAGGCTTTGCTGAGTGGGGAGGGCAGAAGTAGATGGCCCTGGCTCCCTGCAGCATGGCTCCTGGTGTCTCTGCAGGCAGAGGCCCTTGGTGTGGGCACAGTGCTTTGAGCTGGGGAGAAGCTTCCTGACGGGATGGTTGGAAAAGTACAATTGTGAAGAAATTGAGATGTTCTGCAGGGGATGTGTTGAGTTTTCACCAGGTTTTCCTGGTGGAAAGCAGGCGGCGTTCCCAGGGTGACCCTGCCTGGCACTGCTGTGCCCCAGGGAACACCGGGGATGGGTCTGGGCCAGACAGGGTGTGGGGAGATTGTGGTGGGTTTCCTCCTCAGATGGGAATTTGGTGCAGGCTGTAGAAGAGACGTGTTTATGTGTTGGTTTCTAAAGAGCTAATTCACAGGTTGCACGTGTGAAAACGTAGTAAATCCAAGGTCAAGTTCAATTTTCCTATCAAAAGAGGCTGAAAATGATTTTTTGGAGCGAAACAGTTAAATACCAGGATAGTTGTGCTTTGTCTAATGGCAAGGAACTAACCCCTTCTTCCTCTCCTTGTCCTCAGGTTCAGTGGCAAATATGAACATTTGTCGACATCTGGCATCGGCTCCTTGGGACATCATGAGTTTGCTGAAATCTAGACCACAGAGCACTTGCAGTAGCACTTTTTCAATCTGAATTCCGTGTGCATGAAAGGAACCTAATCATCTGGATCGACTGTAGTGATGGCTAGCAAAAGAAAATCCACAACTCCCTGCATGATACCAGTGAAAACACTGGTGCTTCAGGAGACTGAACTGGATGCTGTAGAAGATGATAGGGAAGGAACGCAACAGGATGCTCCTGCGGAAGGGCCAGCAGCTGGTGATGCTGGTGCCAGCAGCACTAATAACGGGGCTCTGTCTAACGGGCACCGCGGCATTGCTGATAGTGACACTTACATCTGCAAGTCTTGTGACTTCGGATCTCAAGACGCTCAGCACTTCTTTGGGCACTTGGACTCTGAGCACTCAGACTTCAGCAAAGACCCTGCCTTCGCCTGCGTCGCGTGCAGCTTCCTTGCAAACAGCCATGAGGGGCTCTCCCACCACAACGTGGAGTCCCATGCCGGCGAAACGAGCTTTGTCTGGAGGGTGGCTAAGCAGGACAACCGGATAACCGTGGAGCAAAGTCTCGGTGAGGCCACCAGCAGCCACGAGGTTCCCGGAGAGGTCCCTGAGGAAGGGGTGGATGGGCAGGCGGAAATTATCATCACCAAAACCCCCATCATGAAAATAATGAAGGGTAAACCCGAGGCCAAAAAAATCCACACCTTGAAGGAGAGTGTGTCCAGTCAGTTGGGCAGCGAGGCAGAGGTGAAAGACGGGGAGCATTCGTTCCCCAACGGGTCCGTGCCGGTCAGCCAGCCCACTGCAAGCTCAACAAAATCATCTCATGTAGTGAATGGCTCCATCATAGGAAACGTGCCTGTTCTGCAGGCGGGTGTTGCACAACTAGTGTCCCTGCAGCAGCAGCCCCCATTGCATCAGCAGCTACCTACGTCCAAGTCCCTCCCCAAGGTGATGATTCCCCTGAGCAGCATTCCAACATACAACGCCGCCATGGACTCCAACAGCTTCCTGAAAAACTCCTTCCACAAGTTCCCCTACCCCACCAAAGCCGAGCTCTGCTACCTGACAGTGGTGACCAAGTACCCAGAAGAGCAGCTGAAGATCTGGTTCACTGCCCAGCGGTTGAAGCAGGGCATCAGCTGGTCCCCAGAGGAGATCGAAGATGCCAGGAAGAAGATGTTCAACACCGTTATTCAGTCCGTGCCACAACCCACCATCACCGTTCTGAACACGCCGCTGGTTGCGAACCCCGGCAGCGTCCCCCATCTCATTCAGGCGACACTACCGGGCCACGTGGTGGGGCAGCCGGAGGGGACGGGGGGGCTGCTGGTCACACAGCCCGTCATGGCAAACGGCTTGAAGGGCACCAGCTCCTCCTTCACCTTGGCGGTGAGTTCGGTGCCCAAGCCGCAGCCGGCGGCGCAGCACAGCACCGTGAGCTCCAGCAGCACGTCGGGGGTGAAGGTGGTCAACAGCGCGCAGTCGCTGCTCACCGCCTGCCCGGCCATCTCCTCGCAGAGCTTCCTGGACCCAAACGTGTTCAAAAACAAGAAGTCCCACGAGCAGCTCTCGGCCCTGAAGGGCAGCTTCTGCCGGAACCAGTTCCCGGGGCAGGCTGAGGTGGAGCGCCTGGCGAAGCTCACAGGGCTGTCCACCAAGGAGATCCGGAAGTGGTTCAGCGACAGGAGGTACCACTACAGGAACGTGAGGGGCGGCCGCGCCGGCTGCCCCGGGGACAGCGCGCTGGATGCCCTGCCCGAGGCGCCCTTCGACGTACCCAGGGGGCCCGAGCTGGGCCCCGCAGCCGCCCCGCAGCACCCACCGCGGCGGCAGGCCTGGCACCAGGCGCCTGATTTCACACCCACCAAGTACAAGGAGCGGGCGCCGGAGCAGCTGAAGGCTCTGGAGAGCAGCTTTGCCCAGAACCCCCTTCCTGCCGAGGAGGAGGTGAACCGGCTCCGGGGGGAAACAAAGATGACGCGGAGGGAGATCGACAGCTGGTTCTCGGAGAGGAGGAAGAAGAAGGTGGCGGAGGAGAACAAGAAGGTGGAGGAGGCTGCGCAGCAGGAGGAGGAGGAGGCGGAAAACGGTGGCGGGGAAGGGGAAGACTCCTCGGATGAGCTGCAGGCTGCGGGGGAGAACGGCTCCATCGATGCCTCCGGCAGCAACTCAGTGGAGCGGAAAGTGAGTCCCATCAAAATCAACCTGAAGAACCTGCGGGTGACTGAGTCCAACGACAAAGCCGAGCTAGCGGGTGCTGGCAGCATGGAGAAGGGGGATGTCGGCGGCAGCCGGGCACCCAGCCCTCCCAAACCCAAGCTCAACTTCAAGAAGACGGCGCAGCAGCGGCACCTCCTGAAGCAGATGTTCGTGCAGACCCAGCGGCCCACCAACCAGGAGTACGACGCCATCGTGTCGCAGACGGGCCTGCCGCGCGCGGAGGTCATTCGCTGGTTCGGGGACAGCCGCTACGGCTACAAGAACGGGCAGCTCAAGTGGTACGAGAACTACAGGCGCGGGGTGTTCCCGCCGGGCATGGGGGAGCTCAGCCCCGCTGCCCGCGATGTGCTGCAGGAGTACTATGAGCAGCACAAGGCACTGCGGGAGGAGGATGTGCCCGGCCTGGCCGAGCGCGCCCAGCTCAGCGCGCAGCAGCTCCGGCTGTGGTTTGCGGTGAAGGCGGAGGAGGAGGGCAGGGCGGCCGGTGCCGAGGAGCCCACGGCCAGCAAGGGCGGCCGGAAAGCACCGAGCGACGCCGGCCCCGAGGTGCCTGAGAGCAGCGAGTGCTGGGAGCAGGGTGGCCGCGAAGGCAGCGCCGGGAGCCCCGATGCCCCGGGCCCACCGCCCGCCACACGGCTCGGTGAGAGATTGGGTGGGCGCAGGTGGGGCTCTGGGTGTTCTCCATTGGGGAACTGAGGCTTTAGGGCAGGGTTTAGTGTCTGCTGTTCTGGGTTTAACTGGGGAAATGGGGAGGAATTCCCTCTGGGAAAGGGGGGGGTGAGGGAAAGAGTTTGAGGAGGGTCCAGTGAGATGCCCCAAGTGCTGTTGCCTGCCTTGGCTGCTGGCTGCTGGCTCCATTCAGAATCCAAGTCCTGCTTTATTGTAATCCAAAGTAAAACCAGCAGGAGTGTCTGGTCTCTACCTGCCCCGGGGGAGGTGGCTCTTGGGTTTATTTATGGAGGGGACTGGTATTTCGGAAGGAAGGGGCCTGGCCCCTGTGTCCATTGCCACCCTCCCCTTGGCCTCAGGCAGCAGCCGTGACCCCTGCCTGTGCCGCAAGAGCCTCCTCCCTTCCCTTTCCCACTGCCAGCTCTCCAGATGTGAGCATCCTTGTTTGCCGCAGGGCATCGCTCAGTGGTGGAGATGGAGGCTGCAAGGAGGGAGAGGTGGAGGCTGGTGGGTACTGCTGCTGGCCCTACCCCTCCTCCAGGACTCACTTCTGAAAGCATGTGTGTGTGTGTGAGGAGAGGTGGATTCCAAGCCCTCCATGGGCTCTGCAGACTGCAGCTGGGGGCTGTTTCCTCGCTGGCAGGGCTCCCACCATATGGGGATGGCTGAGTGCTCACCCTGTCCTGCTGCGGGCTCCGCAGCCTCTCGCCTGCTCCATGCACGCAGCCCCTTGCTGTCCTGCTGGGCAGCTGGGATATCCTCCAGCCCCATTGCCTTGCTTTGGAGCTTCCCACACACCTCTGCCATGGCTGCAGGCCTTAGAAAACAATGATAATCATAACAAAAATCAACTAAAATTCATTAGTTCCCTCCCCCGTCTCATTTGGAGGAGATGGAGCGTGGGTTTGAATGGGGCCCTGCCCTTCCTGCAGCTGAGAGGCCTGGATGTGTGTTGTCCCATGTGCTCTGCAGCGGGACTGGCTTGGGTCAGTTTTTGTGCCCATGGCAGGGAGATGCGCCTGCTAGCACCCCTCAGCCAGTGCCACCCAGTGTGAGGTGCTCCCCACCACGCCTTGTGGCACAGAAGCAGGAGGTGCTCAACGAGGGTGCACGGTTTCAGACTGCTGCAGGCTGCATCCCTCAGCCCAGCCCTGCTCCCTTGAGGATTTTGGGTTTCCTGGTCCCTCTGAATGGGGCTAGCCTTTCTCTGCAGCTCACTCCATCAAGCCTCCCAGTTTTGCTCATCCCGAGGCACTCTTGCACCCCTTCCTGCCCACCCAGCAGGCTCCTGCATCTTGCAGCATCTCTGACCCCTCTGTTCTTTTTCAGAGACAGACTGAACTCAAACCACCAGCCCTGGAGGATGCGCTATTACCCTTGAGAAGAAACTTTTGGTCTTGAAGAAACCCGTGGGCCAGGCTGATGCAGACCTCAGGAGCAGGATGTGGTGGTAAAGCACTGCCATAAATGAGACCTTTGAGCACAGCACACGAGAGAGCACGCGTGCAAAAACTTGGTGCAGAGCTCTTGTGGCCCAGCCCAGGAGATGGCTGAGAGCTGGCGGGGGCTCAGCCTGCACCCAGGAAATAGGATGATGCTCTTGTTGCTTTCCAGTGGACAGACTTTCAGATTTCATACTCATATACCGATGCCTACAGCTGCCTATACAAGCATAACAAATCTCAGACGTTGTGTAAACAAGGTCATTGCTTAGATACGGACTATCACAGCACAGTATTTCTTTCTTTTTTCTTGGGTTTTTTCATCTGTCTGTTAAGGTGTTTGTTCTCTAAAGGTTGGCATGGCTGCATATATCCTCTCTACCCTTTCTGGTCCTTAAGCCCTGGCAATGAAGCACTTTGTGGGCACACAAGCGTGTGTGTGTGTGTTAGGAAAGGGAGCTAAAAAGAAAACTGCCAGTTGTGCATTAAAGCCCAGTGGGAGCTGAGTGAGGTTTTCATCCCTAAGGCTGAGGTTAGGTTTAGCATTGCATACTCTCCAGTAAGTACCAGGTTCCCAGACAGAAGCATCCTAGGAGATGGAGTTTGGTGTCATTTCTCCCTTGCCAGCTAGAATACTTTCCCCTGCGCTCCTGGAGACTGCCTGTAGCAGGCTGTTCAATCTCCAAGTTTCCCTTTAATCACTGAGAACTAGCACATCATAATTTTTCCATCCTGACCTGGAATCTTTTCATTGTTCAGAGAGAACAAGCTGTTCTTCAGAGAGCAAACGCAGAGAATACGCAGCGTTGCTGTGAGAGGTTCAAGGATTGTTGTCTCCAAGGGATCAGCAGCAGCTCTGCTGCAGTCTGGAAGCTTCCCTTTTGCAGCCCGACATGATAGATTTTCCTGCAGCAGCGCTGGGAAATTCAAGTGTTTGCTCCAGGCTTCCCTATCCTTCCCCATTTTATTTCCCCTATTGCTTCTGCAGTAGTTCTGGTGAAACAGCAAAGGATATTGCCCAGTTAAACCTTCTGCTTCCCTCTACCTGCACAGTTTTAATGTGCCCATCTTGTCTTGGGTGGTTGCTGTGTGATGCAACTCCTTGAAGATCTTCTCAATATTCTTTCCTACCAGAAAACAAGGTCTAGAAGGGAAACTCTTGAGCTGGATATTCCAGCCAAATGCTGTGTCAGACCGTTCTGTCACAAACTAATCAAATCCCAGCTGAAAATTGGTTCCATGTCTTGCCTTCACTTTTGCTCTTGGAAAGGCTATTCCAGAAATTCACTGCCTTTGAGTGGTTAGAATCTTTATTTAAATTTCTAGTTTGAATTAATTCGTGGCTGGTTCGTTCCTGGTTTGTTTTGGAGCCAACATTGTCCTTTAACTTAAATAGGTTTTGGTGTCTGTCCGCTGATGTATTTATGGAGAGGAGTCAGAGCTCCTTATTTTTGTCAAGCTAACTCAGCCAAACTTTTTCAGTAGAAGGTTTTTAGTTAGTGAAAGCTTTTCATGTGGGAGAGTTTATTGTTGGTGGTAAATGATATTTATTAGAAGGGTGGGTAGCAAGCCCCAAAGGACTGGATCCAGAGATTTACAAAATCTCTGGTTTAAACACAAAAAAAGCTCTTTCAGAGCCCCTTCCAAAACTGGTGTCTGATTTCTACCTTTAATTGCTTTGCTTTTCCAGTTCTTTCCCCATCCCCTCTTTAAGAGGCTGCCTTGTTCAACTGCTAGGAGAGGTTCTATCTGTTCAGTGCCTTGTAAGAGACAGGACTTCCTCTGGCCCCGTGGTGCGTGCTTCCATGGTAGGTGCCTGCTCCTGAGCTCACATAGCTCCCCTGGCACACAGTATCACCCCTGTGGCCAGGCGTGAGCATCTGCTGTGGATAGAAATGCCCTGCACCCTAACGGGAGCTGGGGCGATGCGCTGGGATGCAGGCACCCGCACTGCCACCATCCCTTAGCAGTCACTGTGAGCGGGGCTGGGGTGGACCCGGAGCACCCTGCAGTGACACTGTGCTCTCTGCACCTCTCCAGAAGCACTGCTGCTGTCATGCTGTGGTTGGAGGCAGAACCAGCAGCAGTCCCACCTCGGCCTCTGTTGGCTCGGGTGGGCAGCATCCTCTGGGAGAGCAGGGGCAACCAGAGCCCCAAAAGCTTCACCCTCATGGGTGCAACTGTGCATACCCCAAAATGTCAGTGGTGGCAGGAGAATCTGGGTGTCCTGGAGCCAGAGGCAGCGTATCTGGGAGTTGTGTGTGCCGAGAGTATGTGTGTGTATGGTGCTACCTTCAGAGAACAAATACAGGTAGGTCAATTTACTCTCTAGTGTCTATGTACATGCAGGTTTATTTAAGTACGCATATATACAGTTCAGATACGCCATTGATTCTTTATTGCATTAAAATGTACATTAAAAATGTACACTTTTACTAACTACTCGCTATATAAATATGTTGGAAGTGTAGTTTGCCCATTCAAGGTGATTCTCTGTGGGATTTTGGGTGTACACTTGAAGGCCTATGGCTAATTGGAAGAGTGATCCCCGCTCCATCTACAGAAATGCTTAAGGACTATGGTATGAACTGATCCCTTCAAACCATTTTTCCATGCACTTAGCTGAAAGTTTTTGCACTTGGATTGTATTTGGCCAGTTTTCCAGACAAATTGAAAAGAGAAGTCTTGTGAGCTGGAGGGAATGTTTCCCGGTGTACACAGCAAAACCAGCCTTGAGGGCTGGAAGCAGTTGAGGGTTTTGGGCTTTGTCTCCGCGCATTCATACAAGCACAGCAGGAGTTTTCTTTCTTTTGGGTTGGAGGAATTGTAAAAAGTGGTTCCATGCAGACTCCCCTCGGCTGCAGCGGGGCTGGCAGGGCCCAGCGTGAGGGGGGGTTAGGGACAGGAACATCAGAAAGCAGCGAGTTCCCTTTCTAACCCCTGCATTCCTCCCTATCTGCATTTGCTGAGTTGACTTGAAACCTCTGTGAAAGCAGAACCTGAGGGGTTAGCTCTGTGGCCCTGCTGCCCTGTCTGAACCTGAGGAGAAGCAGGTGTCCTCACCAAAACCAGGCTCAGGTTTTGGTGCAGGACATTAGAAATGTGTTTGCATCTGAAACTGAAAGGAAGAAATGAGAGATGGCTTGAGAGCCCCAGCAGCAGCAGCTCTTCTGGTGGTAAGAGGAAGCGTCACCAGGATTCTACACAGTGTGTGAATATTTATCATACTCTAATCAGAGATGACTCTCTTGACTTGAAAGGAGGGGTGTAAGATAGAGATCAGGTAGCCAGCATCAGTAAGAGGGGGAAATGAAATTCTTTAGCTCCGTTCTCTGTGTGGGGCAGCAACAGGAGTAACCATCATTTTTAATCCGTGTGAATCTTGTTACTTGTGTCTCTGAGGCTGCTTAGAGTAAGGGCACAATCCAATTGCTTAATGACCCACCCCCTGATCTGTGCCATACCTGGCCCACTCATGTGAAGAGCTGCTGGTTCTCCTGATGAAAACAACAGATACTGTATTTGTTCATGTCAGCAGGCGCTGCTGTGGGATTCTAGATGTGGCTGGTTCATTGGGTACCTTGGTTTTCACCATCCTGGAAATCACTTTTTTCTTACTTTCTTTAGCAGAACACTAAACAACCCATAATTTACAGGCTCCTCTTCCCACTTGTCCGAGGAACATTGGGCCTGCAGCACAAGGGCTGCTTCCATGGGTGACCCACAGAGCTCCAGCTGCACGTACTGGTGTGGCTGCATGTCCCTTCCCTGGTCACCACCAGAAGCCACCAGCAGAAGCAGTTGCTGCTGGCAGCTCTGATGAGAGTCACAGAGCCTTAACCTGTCTGGGCGATGCTGGTGCAGCAGCTGGAGCTGCTTGGTTAATGTTTGCTAAGGTTTGTCCCCTGTCTGTTCAGGAGAAAGAGGAGGATGGAGAAAGCTGGGTTTCCATTTACGGTGTTTTGAGGTTTAGAAAAAACAGGTTTTGGTCACAGGTAGAAGTGTTGTATATTGACCTCCCTGCAGCCCCTCTCTTAGGTGCACTACAGAGGCAACCTGATGGGAAGGTGGTGTGTGGAGCTGGGTCACTGGAAATTAGAAGAGAAAGATGGTTTTCAGCACTTAGTCACCAGTTACCAAGTTAACGTGATGCTGTACCTTCCTGTCAAGTTGATAGCATTTGAAATGCTTGTAAACTTCTCTCTGCTGTTGCTCAGATAATTTTGGCTTTGCTGTTTTCCAATCAGTCGATGGCCTGGTGTGCTTCAGCTCACAACAGGAACATCTCTTGTCATTCCTCAGTTGATCCCAAACCAGCAGGGTAAGATGAGGCAGCGCTACAAATGGAGGTGTAGGGATGAGACACTTGCAAGCTGTACCTTTTCTCTTGGCAAGTTTACTTTCTGCTGTATATTTTCCTGGCAGCGGTCCCTGCCAGGAATGCTGGGTTGGCATCACACAACTTTAAGCAGAGCAAGGGAGCTCTGTAGCGAAGCCGTGATTTGTGTTGTGGTTTTGTTTCCTTGTTCCTGCCTGTTCCAGTGAGGAGTGCTCTGTTGGCTGACGCTGGCCATATTGTGATGGCACAATTCAAGCCACTTTTCCCCTGTGCTGATGGAGGGTGGTGTTAGGAGTCTTGCTTACTGGTGGTAGTGAAGATTGGGCTAGGAATCCATGGCATAGAAAACTTCTTGCTAAAATTGCACTTTCTCTCTGCCCCATCTGGCTCGTGGTGGTGTTATGGGTACGTGGCTGTGATTCCCCTTGCACATACTAACATTGCACTAAAAGAGAGCCTTTGGGAACAGCGTGTTGATCACTTTGTTTCTCAGCAGACCACAAAGTCAGCCGAATGGGGTCTCTTTTTTTTTTTTTTATTTTTAATTATTGTTATTTAGAAATCATGCTGGTGCTGAATGACCTGGAATTTTTGCTTGGATTTATCCAAAGGAAAATGTAATTGTAGCTGCAACGGGACCTTTCATAAGGGTGGCCGTGCAGCTAGGGAGCAGAGCAAGGGCTCTGCTGGGTCTTTGTACTGGGGAGGTGTGGGGGGTTCCAGTGGGGTTATTATTGTGTTTTTCTTAAGACCACAGTTTTAGATGGTCACCTTGGCAATCGTGTGAGACAGGAACTAGTTTTTACTTTTGGTAAAGGTTTTAAAGAGGAAAAACAAAAAGTGAAGCTGCCTGTGATTGTGGGCTGTAGCTATTACTAGGGCTAGGGTAGCTTGTACCTGCTATGGAACTTTACCTGCTCTTATTCTGAGGGCAAGAACTCCCTGTAGCAACAATGCCACTTCTGAGAAGTGAACGGCAAGTTTCCCTTCCTTTTGTATATGTGGATGTGAGGGTGGGTGAGGGGAAGAGCTTGCTTGTACAGTTTGTTGAAATGAAACCAGACATTTTTGGTTGTTCCTAAATAAAGAGTGGAAAAGACGACTGTGACTCGACTGGTGATTGCGTTCACTTCGGGAAGCCCACGGTGATCCCCTGGTGCCAACAGCAGGAGCTGCCCTGGTCATGGGGATGGCTGAGCTGTGCCCCAAGTGGGGAATGCTCCATCACAACCTTCCTTTGTGTTTAAAAGCACAACTTACCCACGGGGTGAGGCCAGCACTGGGTGACCCAGCTATGTGCCAGAGCCTGGATACCTCTGGCCTAGTCATCCTTCTGCAGCCTGGAGTAGCTGCTTGTCCCCATTCCCATTCAGCAAAGCAGGGTCAGCTGTGGCACATAACCACATTAAACCTAGGGCTGCTCCTGGTTATTGCCCCCTGCCAGTAGCTACAACCTCCCTAAAGCCAGGAGGAAGGATGGAGCAGCGCAGCCCCCGGCATGGCTGCACACCCAGCCAGGGCTGCAGTGGGGCCATGCACCACACACCACACACATAATACTGACACTTTTATTGTCATTCAAAGCTAGAGAGGCCTTGTAAATGTGAGTTTCACTACTGGCCCATCGGCAGTGGCTATACAGGTAGGTAGATGCGATGCCACCAGGACAGAGATAGGTGCTGCCTTGGTCACTCATGTCCCCCCCTTGCCTGGCGCTCTGGGAATGGCACAGCAAAGGACGAGTGCCAAAGAGCTGCACAGGAGTGGGATCGCTGGGATCCGGGCAGAACAGCGGCAGCAGGGGCTGGCTGGGGGAGTTCAGGTCTTGCTCTTTGCCATCAGACAGTTGTCTCTCCCCTCGGCAGCTGGCAGGCGGTGCGCACCCGTGTGCTTCGTTAAGGGCTTGGTGGTGACGGGAGGGATTCGGGGTTGGTTTGGGGTTTTTTCCCAATATATGTTTTTTTTTAGTTCTCCACTCAAACACTTCAGTGGAGAAACTGGAGAAGCTGCCTGAAAGTAGGCCATAGCAGTGCCGTTTCCATAGAAACCAGTTCACAGTGTGCCGGGAGATCCACCGGCACTGGAGGTGCTCCCACCGCCACGATGGGCTACAGCCAGTTGTCCCCATTGATCCGGGTCCTCCGCAGCGCCCTGCTGGGGTCACAGAGAGGGGACACGACTCAGGCTGCCCATGGCACGATCCAGGGCAATGTTCTGGTGGCCAAAGCTGTGTCCCACGGATGGCTCAGCACATCCCCATGCTGGCGCTAAGTGCCACCAGCTGCAGGGTGGCAGCTCCTTCTCCCACCCTATCCCCATGGACCCCAAAGCAGAGGCTCCCCAAAGGACTGGCACAACTTCCATGCTGGAATGTAGGGTTTCCATGCAGCAAAAAGGCTGCAGCTCCTCTCTGGGTTACTGGGAGGAGGCTGCATTTATCCACCTCCACCAAGGAGACCATGCTGGGGTGGGATGTGTCCCGGTGGGCACTGCCCTACCTGCGCTCCCGGCTCTCGAAGTGGTCAGCCAGCTGCTCCGGCGACACGCGGAACTCCTCAAAGGGCTGCTGGTACCGTGCCTCGAAGGAGCCCTCTCTGCCTCTGCCCAGCAGCAGCTGAGTGGCAGCATCCCCGGCGCGGTCCCGCAGGGCTGCCCCACTGAAGAGGTTTATCTCACCGTTCTCCTGCTTGGATTGGGAAAACAACAGCAGGAGTAAAGGGCTTGGGAGCTCAAAGTGTGGGTCTGCTCGTCAGGGCAGTGCTGGGCTCATGGGGTCTCAGGGGTTGTAATGGCTTTAACATCCCTTTCTGAAGGAGCTCTGACTTCATGCCAACACAGACAGCCCCGGGCCAGCCGCGCTCACGGTCCTGAGCTGTAACCTCCCCGGAGCGCAGCAGGGACTGGGATCGAGCACATCTGCCCCTTCTGCTGAAGGGCTCTCCAGGCAAGTCAATCGCAGCCCAGGCAGGACCCTGCCTGAACACCCCAACTCGCTGCAGGGGGCAAGTCCAGGGCTTGCCATCCCACCAGCGCTCCGTGCATCGCTCCAGAGCAGCCCTGGCAGCTCAGTGCTGCACCCGAGAGCCCTGCTGAGCCCTGCAGCACCATCACCTTCTCCTGCATACAGTCAC